GGGGTAAAGCAGGGTACTAGTTTACAGCTCATGGCTCTATGGTAACTGAACATTAGGTCGGCCTGACGTAGTCTGGTATCTATGCCAGAACTCCTAGTTCACTTCACATATGGCCTACACACTGGGTTTGGCATGCACTCAACTTGCATGGAACAGAATGAGACAATACTTTTGGTTTAGGACCACCACTTTGGAAACCCCTGGCTACTGTTAATGAAGAATGGGTCAAGAAAATTTTTATAGATAGGCAAAGAGCTCTTGAGGAGATGCTAACAGTATACCTCTGGGTCTTTATCACTCGATCTTCTCTTTCTTTTTAAGTAATTCGAACACAGTAAATGTCCAGTCCTAGGAGCCCTGACTGACACCCTCCCAATGCTAGTCATCACTGTAAATCCCATCCAGGTATGGTCAGAACCTTCTCAACAGCTCTGTTCATAAAGTATCTGTTCTGCACAACTCCCCCCCGACTCCTGAGAACCATCCCCAAATTCTTAATGGTAAGGCACACGTCTTTACAGATCATCCTGACTCCGCTACAAATCGGGACGTACATAGTACAGATGGCCAGGATGCTGCTTTCCATCACCCCCCCCACCCCCACCGCCCCATTTCTATCGCTGTCACCATTTCACACATCTGCGCACAGCCTGTCTATATCAGAATTGGAATGCTCCCCTGAATACATGAGTATTAGGAAGCAGATGAATGGACGGGAGAGAAACACACTTAAAGAAGGTTAAATGGTGATGTTTTGGTGTTTTCAGTGACTGGAATTGAGGCTATATTTAGGCCACACCTGAGAAAAGTAATCTGGGAAGTGCGTGCTTCTCTGAAAGCTGCTGACCATAAAGAATGAGTCATTGACCTAAATCTTGTTTCCGAGACACAAATGTCCATATCAATAAATCAACAAACATTTGTCAAGAGCCTACTATAAAAATTACCAGCCTTCCTTGTGGAAAAGAATCATCTCGGCAGCCTGTTTAAAAGGCACAGCCTCTGGACCCACACGCAGGGATTCTGTTCATTAGAAAACTAACATCCGAGGTGATACTGAAACAGGCACTTGGGGGACCACGTTTGGAGAACTACCAGCCTGCCATCTGCCCAAACCTGTGTTCGCTGATGGTGGTGATAAGATGATCTCTTCCCTCAGTTCATAGACTAGTGAGAAAGCAAGCATTGAGTGGCAATGAAATATGGTTTGGACTAAAATCAGAAGCACAGAGAAAAGGCTCCTTAGGCCTTATCGGAAGAAAGGACAGTCGAACGAGTCCTAAAGGGATGCGTAGACTCTGTGGTCAAATGAGGGAGTTGTCAAGGCCATTTCGGACACAAGGAACAACTGGTACAGTCTCAGGAGTTTAGTTAAAATAAGACCAACAGACAGACATTTCAATTTTTTTTTCTTTACATTAAATAAACTAACCGTACAAGACCAGGTACGGTACTCACCAGAAAAGTGGAACAAACTGCTCTTTGGAAAAGTAAAGCTTTTCTGCCTTCCGAGGCACGGAGAAGCTTCGGACCAAATCACAGTGTGGGATCACTCTCCTGCCACTTGCTCACAGTGGAATCTCCCCGATTCCCACAATGCTTTATCACGCTGCAGCTGCTCAGGATAACCACAGGCTCGTGGCTTAGTAGGAAACCCAGATTGCACAGGGCATCGTCCCTGCTGCCTCTCCAGTCCGGTGTCCCTGACGCCTT